ACCCTTGTTGTCCTGGCGAAGGCTCTGGCCCGGAGTCATAAAGGAAGACCTCAGGCAGGTTGGCCTCCCACTCTCGGGCTTCTTCACACAGGGCTTGCAGTTTCCGCTGGTATRTCCCCAATTTCTCCAGCAGATCTTCCATCCTCCCCAGGAGGAGTATGGCCGGCTCTCCTTCRCCTTCCTGCCCCTCATCATCCGATTCGACGACTATTGGTTCCTCCCTTATAGTCCCTGCCTTTAGCCGCTGGTTGACCTCCTCGTTATCCCCCAAAATCTCCTCGACCCTTAAGGTCGGCTCTTCCTTCTCTTGCCACATCCTAAACATCGTCGGGGGTGCTGTGGGCCCCGCTGCTGCTCGCCGGAAAGCCTCTTGCCTGATTCCTCCTGGGGTCCTGGGGTGAATATGCKCACCCCACTTATCATATATGTCCCCGTCCATACAAGAGGAGATTAACCCCGACAATTCATCCTCCCGCCACCGCTCGCAGAACCGCACCGTGTGCCTATATTGCCACAATGCCAGGAGGTGGCATTTCGCCAATCAATGCGGGGCCTCCCATACCCTTGGCCCCCTCCCTGGTCGCCTCGGCCACCTTGGTCCTGGCCCCTTTGACCATTCCACCCACCTCCGCGACCCCCACCATTTCCTCCTCGGCCCCGGCCACCACCTCCTCGACCCCCTTGACTTCGGCCTCCATTGCCTTGTCCGCCTTGTCCTTGGTTTCCTCCCCTGGCCACGCTAGCCTGCGAGGCCTGTTGGGAGGGAKGTGGTTGGGCCACAAACTGACCCTGAGCCGCAGGGTGGCCCTGGGGCCCCATACTTGCYGTTGGGCTCGCATAAGGGATCATTTTCCCGGGCTGAGTTTGACTACCCCCGCACGAGGTGCAGTGATTGCMACTGGGCCAGGATGCAGGCTGACAATGCGGCAACCAGTGCCCACAAGCCAGCGGCGGCCCCATACATGACGGCCCGACCGTCGCCGACGTAATCGTGGCAGCCGGTGGCGGCGCAACAATCGCTTGCGGGCCCTGCCCTTTTCCGGATCCTTGACCCCCCACTTGTAAATTCCGCTGCTTCCTCTGGGCCTTGGTTAGGATCTGGGAGCCCGTCTATTCTCCGCCATAGTCCTCGCGT